TTCTTTCTAACCAACTAGTAATTATACTGGACTACTTTCACCTGGTTCTAAATTTTGAGCTGACACTGTCTAAGAGCAATTCCTAATTAAACAAAGTGTGAAATACTCTTACCCCTTTTCTTCTGGATGGTTTAGGTTTCTGGACTGTCTTTGTGGTTTTATGACCCTTGTGGAGTCCTACCGCCATTTCAGTGTTACGAGCCATGTTTGGTTCCTGTCTGCAGAAATAAACAGAACATTATTCTTACATGTACTTATATTTCTTACTATTCCAGAATTTCACGAAGAAGGTCACGTAAAGTCACGATACTTTTAGCGATTCAAAACCTTTGAATACACCAAATGAATGTATTTAACCAGGCAGTTTAGCACGTCAGTATGCATGGTGTTTTGAGCAGGAAAAACAACTTCTAGTCAACGACTACGAGGAAACAATCTCTACTAAACATAAAACAATTTTTGTTTAATACCTGGTAAGTGGAAAATTTAAATAACACTCTCGGATGGCAAAGATATAAGAGGATGGGTTACCTTAACAGCAAAACACAACTATGGCCGAAAAGAAAAGGGAGAAGAGGGTGAATCTGCAGTAATGAAACGGTTCTGACAGTGGTTACAGTTCTGAAAAGATGCGTGCGCACGAGCCTAATGAACGAACGTATAGAGGCCTGGGGTCGATTATCAACGTGGCCTTCAAGAAATTGTTCTTTTCGCTTAGATTAGAGAATATTTTTTCCCCCTAAATTGCCTCTGATCATGGAGTCTTATCTTCAGAAGGCTGCAGAAGTGAGCAACCAACATCCAAAACCCATTATCAAGTTCGCTTATGGGACAGCAGGATTTCGCACGCGATCTGACTCTCTTGACTCTGTGATGTTTCGCATGGGTCTCCTTGCGGTTCTACGGTCCAAGGCCAAGAGTGGTCAAGTTATTGGTGTGGTCGTCACTGCCTCTCATAACCCTGTTCATGATAATGGTGTTAAACTGGTGGATCCGTTTGGTGAGATGTTACAGCCCTCCTGGGAAAGGCATGCGTCGGAATTGGCAAATGCGGAAGACGTGGTTGAGATTCTGAGAGGGGTAGTCACGGAACACGGTATCGATTGGAATGTTCCAGCCAAAGTGTTTATCGCCCGGGATACGAGACCAAGCGGCGCGCAGTTTGTGAAAGCCCTTGCAGATGGAATTGAAGCCTTAGGTGCATCATATCATGACTACGGTGAGGACAGACCCCACCGTTGTTATTCCTCTCCACCCTTTCTTGGGTGAAAATTATGCTCGGTACTGACACATTGGAACAATGAACTGTCTTCTCGGGATCGCACTTGTCTTTATTGGGCTATAGCACTTAATTGACATCTACATCCCATGGTGAGGTGCAGTTATCAAATGCTATAACCCATTCTCAGGCCCCCTCCCCTGCCCCTGCCCCTAAAAAAAGTGAACACAAGTCAACCAAATAACTTTCTAATCTTGAAAAGATTATTTTCAAAGGAAGGGAGGAAGTACATTCTATGGGGATCTCTTGACACTTGGCTAATAACTTTTGTATTACATAAGTTGTGATGAAACTATTATTTTAAATTTGTGTAGGTGTTTTAACAACCCCACAGTTGCATTACATGGTGAGATGTCACAACACAGAAGGTGAATATGGTGAGGCAACAGAGGAGGGATACTACAAGAAAATTTCCAAAGCTTTTCTGCATCTGAGGTCACTGTCTGGGAAAAGTGGTGTCCCTATCATCAAACTAGACGGTGCAAATGGGGTGGGAGCTGTCAAAATAAAAGAGATGACTAAGCACCTGTGTGACTCCCTGTCTATATGGGTGTGTAACGATGGTTCCACTGGAAAGCTTAATGAGAAGTGTGGTGCTGACTTTGTAAAGCTTTACCAGTGTGCTCCTGATGGCATGGTTATTACCCCTGGTGATCGCTGTGTAACATTCGATGGTGATGCTGATAGAGTGCTGTATTTCTTCTTTGATAAAGAGAATAAGTTCCATTTGCTTGATGGTGATAAAATTGCCACCCTGATAGTAGGTTACCTGAAAGAAAAACTTGACAAAACTGGAGTGGTGCTTGAAAGAGGCTTGGGAATAGTCCAGACAGCATATGCCAATGGTAGTTCAACGTTATATGCTGAAAACACACTTGGTGTTCCTGTAGCATGTGCAAAAACAGGCGTGAAGCATGTTCACCACAAGGCGGAAGAATTTGATATAGGCGTCTACTTTGAAGCTAATGGTCATGGAACAGTATTGTTTACAAACAATGCTATTAATAAGATGAAGTCTGTTATGCAAAACACAGATGCCAACTCTGAGAAGCATAAAGCTGCAGAGCAGTTTTTGAGCATGGTAGATTTGGTCAACCAAACTGTTGGCGATGCCATGAGTGACATGTTAGTGGTTGAAAGCATCCTCTATGAGAAAGGCTGGAGCTTGGAAGAATGGAGTGCTGCGTATACTGACCTCCCCAACAGGCAGCGTAAAGTCACGATCAAGGATCGCACTGTCATCCAGACAACAGAGTCTGAAAGGAAGGCTACAACTCCTGAAGGGCTTCAAGACGAAATTGATAGACTTGTCTCTGAGTACAAAAGTGCAAGATCTTTTGTGCGACCATCTGGTACCGAAGATGTTGTCCGGGTTTATGCAGAGGCTGCCACGAGGGAAGCTGCAGATTCTTTGGCATTGGCTGTTAGCCAGAAGGTTTACGATTTTGCAGGAGGTATTGGAGAGAGACCGTGATATCATAAAATGATTTGATTAATTGCTTTAACATTTACTGTAGAAGTCATTTTTGACATTCTTTCAGCTTGGACAAAAATAATAGTCATTTGGCTACATGCAGCAACTATAATTTGATCAAAGCAATGAATTGTTAGGATACATGTAGTAGTAAATCTTTTGTTGCTCAAATTGTGTACTGGTTCTTTGACACAGAAATCCACTTTATGGACACCTCATTGCACTGTAGATACAGTGGGTTTTGTACCTAGCTCAGCTATTTTTTCCTAAATGTTATAAATCCACTTAGTGCTGGCACCACATCAATTCAGATACTTTCTGATTTAGATACAATATCTGTAGTAAATGCTACTGACTGTATGTGTAGTGTACAAAACACTTTTTTCATTAGCGTTTCTGTTAATTTAAAAAAGGTGAATTAAGGTCTCATTAGCTAAAGATCAAGTATTTAAATTACATGAAGGGAAAAACTAATTTAAGAACATTAAGTACCGGTAATTAATTAAAAAAGCATTATTTTTTGGAGATCAGGTCAGGTGAGGTTTGAGCTATAAAGGATAGTACAGACTTGTGAAAGTCATCTTCAAAGTGAACTTTTTGCTTTAAAATTTTACTTGACAATGAAGTTGTTATAAACAATAATCATCTCTGGAGATTACCCTCACCAGGTCAATAACACTAAAAAATAAATTAATATGGTCCAAGAAAATTTTGTAATTTCCATTATTATTTTATTATTGATTTATTGTTTTTTTAAAAATGATGGTTTTATTCTTATCCTGCCTTTGTGTAGCTAGGAAAATGGAATTGAAAATAATAAAATTAGTTCAATGATGACATTTCAGTATGAGAACTAAATTTATTGCATAACAACACTTCTTAGTATCACAGATTCTGGCATTGTCATACCAAGTAATCTTACCAGTTGACCATAGGGACACAAAAATCAAGCTGTCTGTCTGCATCCCCTATCAGTTTTTGCCATGTGTTAGATAGGTTTTATCTGGCATGCCAAGTCAGATGACACAATAAGCCTGACATGTATGAGCTGGGGCCACTGGGAAAAAATAATGTATTAATATATATTATTTTATTGGCAAAAAGCGTCTTTATAAGATTTAAATCAGCTGGTTTGACAGTCACTAGTCTCTCCTATTAACTTACTATTGATCTAGACTGCAAAACAGTCATATTTTTTGCGAACGCGAGCGACGGGCAATATTCGAACGAAAGGTCTGGAGCGAGTGTAAAAAAAGCAAGGGAGAATGGGGAGAGACACTAAAAAATACGACTGTCCGCCATGCATATGTTAAATTCGTGCAGAATTTCCCGTTCTTCCAGCAACGGGAAATTCCCATTGGTTTTCTCGCCTCACACGCCACGGGCATGAGGCTCGCGCGCTTCACACACGAGGATCACGCTTACGGCACTTTGTGCCTTCCGAAAACGTCCGAAAACGACTGTTTTGCAGTCTACTATTGATCAGACATATAAACAAACTGTAACAGAGTTACTCAATACTCAGTGTCTTTCCATGTTTTGATGGCTGTTCTGTGGAAAACTTGGAAAATGACTTTTCCGAGATGCTAAAGAGAAAAAACTCAAATCCCAGAAGCAGTTCATGCCTTTAATGTTCAATTAACTCTTCTGTGAGTACTCCATGAAAAATGCATACTACTCCCTTGGATGGAGATAAGTACAAATATCTGACACTGTCTACATATTCTGTTCTCACTTTCTCTGAAACATCTGACTTGTGTACTGCCCTCTGTCAGTTTATGGCTATTGGATTTGACAGGTGGTTTAAAATAGGTTAAATTTAAAGAGGGAATTCAGAAATGTTTATTTTTGATAAATATTTCTTCCTTACATAACATTGGTAAATTACACTTTTTGTTGAATGTTCTACAAGAAACAAACTAAGTTACTTGTTACACTTTTGATAGCTAGAATTTTATTGGCATGTTACATGCCACATTTTAATTGGCTAATAGTTTTTCTTGGCAAGTTTCCTAGAGTGGTGCAATTTTATGGCCGACATCTTCCTGTAAATCGTGGGTACAGACAGACGTCTCTGATATGTTGCCTATTCAGAAGCCAGGTTAGGAATCGTTCCAGTCCCAAACCATAACCACCATGAGGACAAGACCCATACTTCCTCTGAAAAAAGTAACATAATTTTATTGTAACAATTACTTTTAATTATTTTTCAAGTTCAGAGAAAACATAATTATTATGTTATATAAATGAATGTTCATTACAATAGTTGGTTACCCATACGAGATTGAAGCTTTACAATGGTTAGACAGTTAGTGCTTTAGGAAAAAAGTAACATAATTCTATTGTAACAATTACTTTTAATTATTATTCAAGTTCAGAGAAAACAATACATTATTATGTTATATAAATATAATGTTCATTACAATAGTTGGCTGCCCATAGGAGATTGAAGCTATACAACGGTTAAACAGTTAGTGTTTTAGGACAACACATGCATAAGCCTTGCAATCACTGCACAAAACAATGAGAATAGCAATTAAACACAAAAAACAAAACTCGGGGCAATGGTATTTCTCTAAATTGAAGACCATGTGCCAAATTTGAGGAGAATTTGAACCACAGTAAATGAAAAACAACAATAGAAACAAAAAAGTTAATTAGCATAGTGTTAGACCAGGCTCTTCAATTATTAAGTAGTCTGAGCCAAAAAAATAAATATAACAGTAATTTTATCAAGATTCAAAGACAGTTTAATGTACCTGGTCAGTATACCAGTAATAAGGTGTTGGATCAATGCCTTCTCTCTTGTAGCCTTCTAGCAACTCCTCCTGAACAAAGATGCAATTCAAGTGTTCTTAAATACATGGTTTAGGTATTCTAATAATTATTATGCTAACCTGGTTTTGAGTTACATTAAAGAGATATAAAGTAACCTGTCCCGTAAAGTACAAACAACTCAAGACAGGTTTATCGATTCAGTGTTAGAAACTTGTTTCTTAAAAAAATCTAGAACTAAACATGTTTGTGTGAAGTCACAAATTTACTGCTCTCTAGATGCCTCTCTAAAAAAAAAAAATGTCTTAGGAAATCTTCTGGCAGTTACTCAAAAGTGAAATGCTCTTTGGTGCGGGTGTGAAGTGAAGGGGTTTATTCTTACGCACTCGGCTCTCTGACCATTCAGAAGAGTTGCCAATGTTTAACTGCACTAGCTTTACAAATGCAGTTAGCTTACAAGATAATTGGTGTCCGGTTGATGGAGTGGTGAGTGGCCAATCTCCCTCCAATCTGTAACTTAAAAACACTGCTCTGGCAAATATGGACCAGTAACTTACATATTCCCACATCCTCATTGAGCCACCAACAATTTCTCCAACTCCAGGCATCAGAAGGTCAACCTAAAAATATAAAGAGAAAGTTGAAAAAATCAACTAAACTACAGGTGGATAATATTATATTCAAAAACTATGCACATGCTAATACATTTTGATGTTGGTTGGCAACCATTTTTCAAGTAATATGTCATAAACGAGGGTGAGTGTTTCATCAAGGTTTCCAAACACGAGAAAACTGATGAAAGCATGAGGCTGAAGGCCAAGCGCTTTTATTGTTTTCGAGTGTTTGGAAACACTGACGAAACAAGAAACCCAAGTTTACGAAATGGCTTCTCAAAAGGGCTTAATTTATTAACCATAAACACAAAAACAGAAAGACCATGTAAATAGTCAGTTTTTGTTTTCTTTTGTTTCATTAGCACATGTACATGCATATAGTTGGTAGTCAGTGTAATTAACGGTGTTGTGTTTTTTTTCACAGCTTCTGCTTTTTAATTAGAAGAAGTCACACTTTGCATTGGCATCCTCAGCTGCAATTTTGAGAAATGGAAGAAGCAGCTATGGAAAGGTCTTCCCAGTTTCGACCGCCGAAAAGTTGCAAAGAGGAAGTTTCTTTGCTCAAAGGTTCAAATTGTAAAAGCACTCAGTACAAAGATAAGTGGGCTGTTGATGTTTTCCAAAATTGGACCTTACTGTATCTAGTATTGTAACAGAAACCGCGAGTACTAAGTAATGAACTCTTACAAGGTGAAAGCAGTGTGTGTGGAATGTTAAATCAGTTGAATTTGAGATTGTTCTTGAATTGTAATGTAAACGTTAATGTTAACGTTAACAAAATGATTACTGTAATCCTGGAAGTTAATAAACATTTGTTCAAGTACTGCATTCTTTTGCAAACTGATTTCCAAACACTCGTCTTTGGATATCTTAATACGTGTGTTTGGAATCTGATCATATGTGTTTGGATCTGGTCTTTACTGGGTATCAAGGGACATCCATGTTGCCCGAATGAGGCCACACAATTGATTAATTACCTCATGCATAATTAATGAGTTTGAGAAGTGCAGATCCTGTTAATTGTGTTTGTGTAGCAATAATTATGGTTGTAGTCTAGCAGCAGAATTGCAAGTTGAATTACCAATTAAGCTTATCGCAACCAATAATAACTTACTGATTCAGTGAGACCCTTATTCTCTGGACACCTGAACATGTAGAAAGACTTTATGTTGGTAGGAAAACGGCACAACAGGATTGGCTAAGGCGAAAATGACATAAGCGTGAGTATTAAACTTCACTGTCTTGATTCAATTGATTGAAATGAAGGAAATAAATCTTGGTTTACTGTATAATCCTGTACATGTACCTCATTGATTTGGTCTGTCATTTTCCTCTCAGGCATCTCTGGGATGTCCTACAAAGAGAAATAACTTCACAGTTACTCAGTTACTAATGGAATCATAGTTTCTGTCTCTTGTAGGTCCTGTACCATTCTTCATTTACCAGAGTTGTGAAATTTATACAGTCGTGTAACTTGAGTGAGAAAACATTTGTGCCCCAGGATCAAAACATTTAACATTATCTTTACTGATCGATCTGAAGAATTTGCCTATAGCCAAGAACAGCCATGTTAATTAAATCAGGAATGTGTCCCATCCCAAATACTGTAAATGTTCTGTTTGCCATAACCACCCAATTCAAAATGATGATTATGGTACTGAAAATATATCTTTTTAAAATCGCTTATGACTGTTTATAATTTTAGTAAATCTTAGTTGCATAAGCTGTTTTAATATTTTTGTATTTTAGCACATTTTTTTGCATTTATAGATCTTTGTTTTAGTTTAATTGTTAGCTTCTTTTTATGTAAAGCACTTTTGAATATCTCATAGTATTAG